AGAATCATTATTTGTTTCACTTTATTGAGATTTCTAAAAACCGCTTAAGGAATTTAGCAGCTTTATTTCGGGAGAAGAGAGGAGATGATAATCATAACATGATCTCATGGGGATGCCTGTTATTTTAACTTATCATTTTTAAGCAATGAACGTTATTGAGAATTACTAATGTATATTTCGTAAATAGTAACGTTAATGATGAACGGTTTGGTAACTGCAGAACAACTTTCAATTCAATATACTTAGCTTGTAAAGGAGCAACTTCTTGCTGCATCCTAAGAGTATCACTGAATCTCACTGTAATGCCTAGGGTATTATAGGGTTTGAGTCCTGACAGTGGAATTTTTCTGCAGTATCTAGTCAGCTAAATCGAAACAGCTGCTGTCTGGAGGAGAATTTTAGCGGCCGGCTGCTCTGTTCAGTATTTTTCCGTTGTTTCTCCAACAGATTCGGGGCGAATGCCACAGCAGAAAGGGCCACGAACCGCGCGCGATTTTCCTCCCTCTTCCTTGCCTTCTCCTTATAGGGATAAGTATGAGTACTTACACACACATTCACATGCACTACACTCACGTGTCGGGAGACTAGTTGGGAACTTGGAGCTTATTTCGATTGGGGTGAAAACCCACTTGCTTTCGCAATTTGACGTGTAGATCGGCGCTTAATCTCGCCATCCAGCGGGAAAAGATTACCGCCAACTCCAACGCTGAAAAAAGTGCACTTCACTTACGGGAATAATGACCTTAGCAATCGACGGGCCGGGAAACACTAATTAATGAATCTTTGCTCACGAAATGATGTTGCAATACTTCATATTATTTGTTCTCAGAAAACATGATGATTTTTTTACATTAATATAAAATTAACATTAATATTTATAATTTTATAAATGGCATTGCTTTTATGGGACGGTTGACTTCATATTATGTGTGTTAAACAACAATCAGATGTGACTCTCTATAGGCTTGATGCCATTAATACGTATGACGCTAGTAAACACTAGTTATGTTTGGATAGATAAAAACACATCACCATTTCCTCCTCAACTTAATTAACAAATTTATTTTATCATTGTAGTGATAGAAACTTTGTTACTGGCAACAGATTCCAGGTTTCAGATGGTTGCCATGTAAGTGCTTCGAAGCGCGGAGGATATTACGAAGTATTAAGGAGTGCAACTTAAAAAAACAAGAATTCGTCTGTCGACCATGAAAATTGCAGTACAATCGCTTTGCTGTACGCAAGTCACCTCTCGAGCTCACTACAGCACAACTAGCCTTGGGGAACGAATTTCTTTTTCTAATTTTTTGTTTTTCTATTTTGTTAAATACAAAGAAACAAGGAATTTCTACAGTAAACTCATACGTATTGCATCGTTATTTCTGAATACGAAATATCAGAAATTTTTAGAAACTTGAAATTATGAAAACTTTCGCACGGCAAGTTGCAAATAAAATATGAGAGAATTAAAAATTACCGTGTGTAAAGTGTCAATGACAATAGCATTCTTAAAATATTTCAATTACAATGTTTCATCTAGCAAAAATTTATCTTTCGAACAGTCTCGTAAAAAAGATAATGGATGTCAAAAGCACTACGAGCAATATCACCGCCTTCTGAAACCTGCCCCAATTCCTTCCACGTAAGAGAAGAAAATTCCTCCCAACACAGTGAGTAAGTGTGAAGCGTAGACAATGACAATGTGCGAGCTCTAAAGAATTCGAGTGTTCTTACAGGGAATTTCAAGTCAAAAAAAATCCAGAGAAGCACGAACCAAAGAATCCAAGCTCATAACCGCAGGGCCAATGACGCGCTGAGAAATATGGCGTTCATAACAGGGCAAATCCTCTTTTAATCGCCACGCGATAAATCTGCTCGCGGCGCGCAATTTTTCCTCTCCGGCGCTAATTTGTTGAGCGTCACGCCGCGCCCGGGGGAGGGCCCGCTTTTCGTCGCGTCGCCGATCGGGAGGGGCGAGAGAAGCATCTCCTGCGATGGCCCTCTGCGACGCGTAGAGCGCGCGTGTTTTCACGATCATTTTTAGGGTGCTTGCGCAGTAGCGATTCCTTTGTTAAATGTTGATTTATTTTACAGGTAATTGAAAATCTCAGAAATGGAGAGGATAGATGCTCCAGTAGTGGTTTCTAAGAACATGTTCGTAGTTTTGTGTATACAAATTGTTGGCCTGCTGGTATGTCAAACTGTGCCCGCATGAGCTACTTGCCTGCCTGGGAATTCAGGCGCTCACGCGAGCACAGACTACATCCCCTGATTTCGCTCTTACTTCCCCTCCAAATTCAGAAAGAACTGTAAAAACGCGAGCTGCAGCGGAGACTAAGTGCGAAAGATGCTTTCAATTAAATAAACGAGGTTTGAATAATGTTTGTAGTATATTTTATCACTTATCATTTTATTTCAAGTTTAGTTTCTTTTAAAATTATGTCTTGTAAAACTGCATTGTCAAGGGTCAGGAACATGTTTCAATGGCAAATTCTTAGCCTACTTTTGTTTTATTAAATGATTCTGTTATTTCTTGTATTTAGCAATATCGTTAAATATATTAACAAGTTTCTATGTTGTATAACCCCTCGAGTAAAATCTTCTCTTCCATTTATTATATCACTCCTACTAACAGACAGCATTTATAACAGACAAAATATTTGTTCTTACCCTAAATGATGGGAGTCCATCAAGTTATTGCACTCGTAAGTAAACGTGATTACAATATCAGTTCTGTTGAATTCAAAGTATTTCATTTTACTCGAAATCGATAAGTTGAAATATTAAGCACGTATTTAATTTATAAGGATAATTTATTTCTTCTAGTAGAGGAAATGAAAATTACTAATGGTAAATTTGTGGCAAAATTGTTAACTGACTTCTCTAAAAGATTGTTGTGGGTCAGGAAGGTAGTAAACTCCTGCCACCCCGAAAAAATTCGTACGTCCATTACTTTCCAAGTTCGCGCCACAGTTGGAAACAGTACTCGCGAGCTCTAGTAAGCCACTCTCCTTGCCTGTGGCCCTAATGCATATTCTAGAACAGTAAAGTCGTTATGTGAAACTCAATGGGCTACCAGCACATCTCATTCTGTATCGATTCCTTATTAAGAAATGGAATATTTTTAATTTGTTCTACGTCTTTTTATTAGTTCATTTCCCAATTCAGATTTTGTTCTAATAGTAAACATCTGAAGTTTGCAAAATTTTGGAAGTGATTAGATCGTCGATTCAATAATGGCCAATCGATATTCTACCTCTATAACATGTTTGAGACAATTATTTATTTTTAAAATACTGGTTCAGTTACACAGTGGGACCATGGGCGCCTTGGCGAACGTCGCCACGAATGCCGTGGACATGGAGACAGGGCGGTCGGTAGATTCGCCAAAGAGGGAAGGTGGCTTTTCGGTACCGGAAAGTTTAAATATTATTCATGTTATAGTAGATACTAGAACTGTTCACCACGGCTCTGATACATTCTTGACATCTACATAAGCTTTGGTTCTCTCAGTAAACGCTGTTCTGTGGTATTGCAGAGATCTGTTCCTGCCGTAATTCTTCCGGGTGGGGATTTTTCGCATATACGCGATCTTCCAGGAACACTAACAGACAGAAATCGCACATAGCCAGATCAGGAGGCCATACAGGTTACAAACCATATGTGAGAATTCTCTCTCCATAAACAACATATAAGAACTTAAGGTAACTGAAACAATGTGTGCGGAGACCTGTTGAAAATAATCCCCATTTGGAAGGAAGACCCCAGGTTATGAAGCATACCATAAAAAATAAGGGTGAAGTGCTAAGAAAATATCTCTTAGCACTGATAGCGCACCTTACACTTACTTTAATGTGGTGTAGCAGACGGTGGTGAAAAATGTGTGGTATTTCAGTGTTCCAATATCTGTTATTTTGTCTATTAACGTGACCATTGACATAAACCAAGTTTCGCCAAAAACGAAAGTTGAGATCGGGTCAAGATTACCATCATACATACTTTTCAAAACACAATTTGTAAAACGCCCTCTTGCTGTTGGATCACCAGGCAGTAAGGTGTACACAACCGTTCCTCTGCAGGGTTTTAGTCTTAAAAAGTTTATGGCCTTCCTCGCACTCTTATTTGAAATACCGATCTGTTGAGTAAGCCGTATCAAGGGTTTGCGAAGAGAATGTTCCAGTCGCGTTTCCTAGCAATTTCTCAGCAGTTAAGACGTGGCGCTTACGCACTGTTTTTTGTCCACTAGTACACCTTGACTAATTTTTTTCACCAGCTTTTGAATCGTAATCCGATATTGAAGTCTGTTCCCGGAAACTCCCATCTGCCAACACTTTCTCGCAGATTTGCTTATTAGTTGTTATGTGTCATTGACAAACATTTTCTGAGAGTGAAATTCGATCGACACATCACAAACTGACGATTAAACAAAACTTGTAAGCATGCATTTTGCAGCTTGAATCCCTCCTGTCTGCAAAGTTCCCAGGGTAGTTGAGTGCATCGTTCACCGGCGAAAGACGGCCCGATCGTTCCACAATCGCTGCACACCAATAAAATTGTCTCACTCTTTTATTGCAATGCCTATATAAATTATTTATTATATATTTTAACCTCATCTTTAAATATAAAATAAAGAGAGGTGTATTATCTTCATTCTAATCCTCACCACTGCAAGGCATTAGCTCCAAGTTCTGCACGTTTAAAACAAGTAGGAAAACTTCAATTCTTAATTACTCATTCATCGAAGTACGCACAGAGGTACGAACCTTGCCACCACCCCACCGCCACTTCCACCCCCATAGTCACCACTATCACCACCACCCCCGCCGCCTCTCCATCACCGTCATCGTCACTACCACCGCCACAGCAACCACAACCATCAACGCTGCCACCGCCACCACTACTATCTGCGCTGCCCTCTGCGACGATAGGGGTATCATCACTGCCACTACCACCGCTACCGCTGCCATCTCCGCCACCTCACCACCTTCTCCGCCACGTCATCATCCATCATCATCAATTCCGCTGCCACCCCCGCTTTTTTCCACCATCATCGTCTCTTCTGCCACCACCGTCAACGCCACTGCCACCGCCTCTGCTGCCATCTCCACTAACGACATCGCCACTGCTGCCACCACCATCATCACTACCACCGCCACCTCACCATATCCACCCCCATCATCGCCACTGTCGCGGTCACCGCCACCACCACCACCGCCTCCACTGCCTCCGACGCTGCCGCCGCCGCCGGCTCCTTGCTCTCCGCGGGTCTGCGCGACGACGCAGCACAATAGCGGCGCGCGGTGGTTCAGCAGATTCGCGGCTGCGGCGCAGAATGAATTCCGCCGCTTTTTAAGCGAGAGCTCGCGGCTTAGAATTCCGGGAAGAATAAGACTCCGTCCGAGGGAGGACGAGGGAAACACCCGCTCTGAATGGGGGCGCGGAAAGCGATAGCGATGTTCATTTACGAGGCAACAACGCAAAGTCAGGCCCACGACCGGAATGGAATAGCGCTCCTGCACATTGTGTACAACCCAGCAAATATTGTATTTTATAATAGGTATGTTTCGCTAGGTGGTTCGTTTTTCGGTGATAAGCGTTAGTGTAGGAATGAGTCCTTTGAAATATTCACGAATCATTCTCCCAAAAGTGTTGTTTGTTTTGGAAAATCCTGTCAAAATGAAATATGTGAATCGGTAAGGTGGTTATATAATCTACGAATATAACGTGGTGTAATACAGCTGCCGCTTGTGACGTGGGATTGTTTAAATGTAGCGCCAAGGGCAATACATATAACCACAATACACAAAACAACTTTTAGGCAGAATTGCCCACCACCGCGAAGGGTGTAACAAGAACCAATGCATTAAATATGGTACTTGTACTGGTAAAATGTAGCGTCGACAACACTAAACATAAAAAAATAGTTTCATGTGTTGAAAATGCCTTTACAAACTCAATCTATTCTGCAATTGCTCTATTAATCGTTTTGTATGCGTAGCATTGCATGCGAATCTAACATTAAGGTGACTGTTTTGTATGTTTATGTGAACCAGGTGTTAGTTAATTTAAATAAGTGTAAGTATTGGGTTACATTCTTTCGAAAATTGATATTTGCACACGTACGTAAGAACTTAAAAGTGAGAAGTCGATTATAACGTTCATTCATTCTCTTGCATTATTATCAGTTTTTTCTGCGTATTCACTTCAAATTCTTCAAGTTTAATAAGTTCTGAGGCAATACTTTTCGTAGGTTTTCCGAAATTTATTTTTAAAACTATATTAATTCCAAAATTGATTATAATAATAAATGTACTACAAAAATTAATATACAGATTATACATTATGATTTTATGTAATATATTTACACATGAATTTAGATATTACGATTTTTTATTTAAAATTACAACAACTTTTCACAACTCTTTCCGAGCTAGTATGAAATATTTATTTTTCATAGGCGCCACTATAACTTCTCATCCAACGCTCTTTGAAATTGCACACGGTATCTTAAGAAAATGAGGTTCTTTGCTTTTTTACCAAGTTAGATCTTGCTTTTTGCAAAGTAATTATCGTTTACTCTGATTAATTACACACTAATTTTAGCGTTTGAGTTTGGTATAATTGTTAGAATTTTAACCACATCACTTTCAGAGACATTGCTCGACGAAATACTTTGAAAAGAGTTCCAAATAAATTTCTGAAATTCGTTTTACGGTAGTAATCCGACTAATTTTTCTGAAGGTTAAGTTACAGGCAAGCGACGTTAGGCATGGGGAAATTCTACCAGTGATTCACAATGAAAAACGAACTTTGAACAACAAAGAATGTAAAAGTAAAAATTACTCAAAACCACGTTTGGAGAAAAATGCACGAAGGGAGGTTTAATTGATGTTGGTGTTATATTTCCAGCTGTTAATAGTGTAAGAAGAGTAATACTTCCTGAGTAGCTAACATTTATGCATACTGAACTTATTATGCCACTTTACAGTTTGAATGACTTCCCTACATTCATGTGAGAGGTTTCATTACCTCACTATTGTGTTCATGAGTGGCGCTGCACTTATCGAATATCATTCGAAATATAAGAAGGCTTGATCTGTAATAATAGCGGTTTATAGAACTGAAAAGCAGTGAGGCATATTTACATAATTGTCGTTACATTTCCAACAGTCTGATGGCATCCGTTTAATACAGTTCTGAAGTTTCTCCTGAAAGAAATTTTACGTCCACGTAAGTATTATGAAGTCCATTCGCATTTAAGTCGCATGAAAGAAATAAAAAATACTTGCAGACCCGTCTTTTAGAGTTTAGAGAGCAGTAAATCTGTCAGAAGAGCTTCAGAAGGTAATACCTGAACATATTGAGACCCCCAGATCGTACTCAAATTGAAGATGGATTTTCGACACTAGCTTGCCAGCTAGTTCGAATTCAGTCACTGTCTGGAGGAGAACTCCATCGGCCAACTGCTGTGACCGGTAGTACTCCGTGGTTTCTCCGATCAACATCAGGTGAATGCCGGAGCAGTACCCAAACAAACTGGCCACGGATCGCGCGCGATCTTTCCTTCCTCTTCGTTGTCCTATCCGCATCCCTTACTCACACACACTAATATACACTTCACTACCACACGTGCCGGGAAACCGATCGGTAGCTTACAGTTTGTCCCGGCTAGGATGGTACCACACTCGTGACAGATACCTTATTGGGAAAAACAGCGCTAGTCGACGGTTTGATGGCGACGAATCTCGCCAATTAGAGGGGGAAGATTCGCGCCGTCGCCCGATGAAAAAACACGCACTACATTTACGGGATTGGTGGACTCGGTAATAGAGGGCCCTGAAATCACTACCAACCAATCAATCACATTGGAGGAGCTGCTCTGACGGGAGGCTGTGAAGGGGGCGTCAGCAAACGGAACTTCTACATCCAGAACTGAATGCCGAGAAGCGCTTCGCAGTGAAGCGAACAAA